ATCTCAAAACACTGGCTGAGGTAAATGCCAGCCATGAGCTCTTTAACCTAGGTCAGGGGCACTGGATATGCTTACATGCAAGCTGGGTTACTTATACTCAAGTAGGAATGACGAACATGTTTAACTGAGCCACCTGATTAGATCATAGACAAAGCCCAATGTATGAAAAATGAAAAGGCTGGGCCTGGGCCAAACTAAAAATAGTTACTGTTAGAAGAGTAGTGGCTCCTAATGGTACATCCCATCCCTTGCCCGCCCAAGGATATTTACACCTGCTACCCAGGAGTCAGTTGCAGTCTAGTATTTTTGGTCCCTGACTTGGATGTGCTCCTAGGAAGTGAAGTCCAGTGATACAATCCCTCACATTCAAGAAATAAGAGAACTCTGTAGTTGTCCCGACCCTCGGGACAGCAACCTAGGGCAAGATATCCAGGGAGGGGAATGAGGACAAGAGACTTGGAGAGAATGACCACAAGACAGGATTCTGATCAAGTAGCAAATTTTATTTTTTCCAGGCTAGCTTATATAGTCAGGCTAGTTTATATAGAGTGGGGTAAAGGGGAGGGGAGAAGAGGCCAAGAGCCAGGTGTTAGTTCAAGCAGGCTGTCAGAAAACTATAGAAGGAGGATGTTGGCAGGGTAAAAAGTTCTTGGATGATGGGGTGAGGGAAGGTTACCTAGGTGAGTGGTGGGGCAAGGGAGGGTTGCCTAGGTAAGTGGGCTTGTGGTTGGAACAAAGGATTGACGTCTGGGTCATGTTGTTCCTTCTGGATGCTCATGCTTCTAGAAGCCATTTGTAATCAAAAGACAGTTCTAGCCAGGCTGTGGTGGTGCACGCCTTTAATCTCAGCACTCGGGAGGCAGAGGCAGGTGGATCTCTATGAGTTCGAGGCCAGCCTGGTCTCCAGAGCGAGTGCCAGGATAGGCTCCAAAGCTACACAGGGAAACCCTGTCTTGAAAAAAAAAGACAATTCTATAACCATGCAGCTTGCCAAGATTGGCCTAAAGGTTCATGCCAAGCTGTATGGCTCCCAAAGAACGCCTGTGTTTTTACCAGTCCTGCTGGGAATGGCTCTGACTGGGTCCATGGCTATCCTTGCGACTGGAATAGGCATTCAACAAGTTCAATGCGGCTGGTGGCGCTCTACTCAGACTAAGAAATCTTAACTCTTGTTGAGGAAAGCATAGTCACTCTTTAGAATCAGATAAGTTCACTGACAGCGATGTTCCTTCAACAGCGTGGAGGATCAGATTTGAACATGGCTGAAAAAGCAGGTATATGCATGGTTTTACGTAAGGAGAGACATTTTTATATTATTCAGTCAGGAATATTACCTCCACCCCAAAAGGCACAAAGTTATTAGAAAGGGTTAAAGCTAGAAATCCAAACTCTGGCCAATGGAATAGCCATTCCTCCAGGATAAATCTATCAGCTGCTATGAGGATGAAGAAGAGGGAATGAAACAGAACAAGGTAGAACAGATCAACAATCACACACTGATTTATTGACCCACTTACTGGTTTGCTGAAAGCACTGCTTGTGCTACCTATTTGCCAAGCACGACTCACCTGTCACCTAAAACACAAGGACCCGGAGAAATAGCTGAAAGAGTATGTCATTGCCTTTTACAACCTGCATCGGTGACCAGTGTGCAAGAGAGCCCTCCAATATGAATGAGGGTGCAAGGGAGCACTCCAACATAAATGAGTACTCAAGAGAGCACTCCAACTCCAATGAGTGTGTCAGAGTGCAAGAGAGATGTCACTGATGGACTAAAGCTCCTGAAAGTCCTTGGTCTCGGGTCCATTTTGCACTCTCATTTTATACCCTAAAAACCACAAAAAGGGATGAACAAGTCAGAGAGATTTTACAGAAATTAACATTAGACAGTAGGCCAGAATGACTCCTCCCCCTTCTGTCAAATTTTATCTGCTCATACAAAAAGAAAGGTGACCAAGGGCTGCTGGTCTGCTTTGTAATGCGTGTCCTCGTCCATCAGAGGGCGGGCCTTGCTCACCCAGCAGCCAGTGGCTGAGCGCTCAGACAAGAACACCAAAGAGGCAAAGCAAACTAGTGATGGTGGTGATGGCAGAACAGAAAACAACAGAAGAGATGCACACAGCTCAGGTCCTAACGTTTAAGAAGAAAAGGCATTGTGGTCATGGGAAAGAATCACCTACGCTGCTTTCACTTTTCTTAAAAAACTAAGAGACCCACCTGTATCTTTTCAGCAGTGTCTCGTGTGGCTATTGTATTGAAATACGAACCACCAGGCTAGGCTGGCTTGAGATTCTATTTTGTCATAATTTGTATGCCTTTGGTCATGCTATTGTTAGAAGCTGTTATTGAAGGGGAGGAGGAGTTAGTTGCTGGGGGGAGAGGATTCTTATTCCTCAGGGGTGTAGCCACTAAGAATTTGCCTTTGTAAATAGCCCCACCCCATCCATGTTCCTACAGGCAACTGATAAATATATGGGACACACAGACATACACAAAGGGACATGGAAGTTAGAATGCAGAACTTGTTGGAAAAGGAGGGATGGGGGAATAAGAAATGATACAGGGAGCTACCTACAGACAACTAAGGAATTTTGGAGAGCAGGAGAAATGATCTCCAGGGTTGAGGCCTCTAATTGATTATCCAATACCAAATGGTCAGCCCTGAAATCATATACTTACAAGTGACACTAAATGGTCTTGGCAGACTGTATCTAATATATTTAGACATTTAATACATATGTATATATTTATATATATGTAACTAACAATTAAAGAAAAAGAGGCCATGAATTTGATTAGGAGCAAGAAGTCAGGTACTTGGAAGGAGTCAGAGGGAGGGAAGGGAAATGGAAAAATGATATAGTTATATTTTAATTTTTAAAAGAAATGAGAGGATAAAGGGGAAATATGATCAAAATTATGTATGTGTATGAGTCTGTGAATGTTAATTAATAATCAGTATAAAGAGAGGAAAAGCTGTTTTAGAGACATAGAATTTCCTGGATTATCCCTTTGTCAACCCTACACAGGCTGCCATAAGTGGATCTGAGAGGTGGTGAGCAAAAGCTATTGTAAATACTTAAAAGTGGCAATTGAGAGCCTAGAGAGATGGCTCGGATTCAGGGCTCTTGCTGCTCTTGCAAATGACCTGGATTTTGTTCCCTGCACCCATGTTGCAAGGCTCTCAACTACCTGTATGTAACACCAGCTCAAGAGATGCAACAACCTCTTTTAGCCTCCCTGGGCACCCCCTCAGGTGACACTCAAACACACATACAAAAGTAAAAATAAATCTTTTTTTTTTAAAGCTGCAAGTGATTTCTAGTAAGTTCATCTCAAGCACCCTAAAAGCTTGGGCTTTGTTGTTCTTGGTTAATATAAAGACATTTTATTTTCCCTCAACATATATTGCTTCTGAGCTATGATTTATTTCATGAATTGGGACACATGGCGACACTGTCAGTTAAGATGATTTTTTATGGGCCTAGCCTTTGAATCACTCCCTTTGTAAGCACATAAAGGTACCTCCCTCTTCTTAGCTGATGGTATTTAGTAAAACTTGGCTGGTTGTGTTGGAACATGTTCCATGATTTGTTTTGGTTTTTGAGACAGTTTCACTGTGTAGCCCAGGCTATCCTGGAACTCGCGCTCTAGACTAGGCTGCCTCTGCTTCCCGAGTGCTGAGGTTAAGGTGATAACCACCACCACTGGCTTTAATTGGACCCCTTAGGATGCTTTGTTCCATTCCTTCCCCATCTCCCTAGGGGGCAGCCATACATCACACTGTAAAACCAACCTGGGGGTCATCCTTGAATCTGTTTCCCTCCCTTACAGCAGCAATCCTTGTCAGAAGCCAGCCTTGGCGACCCCCCATGCCTAGCTAGCCGCCAGCCAATCTAGCATCCCACCCCTCAGGTTCCGGGACCTGGCCTGAGAAGCAACTAACACCTATTCCACCCCCACTTCCTTAGGTTAGTGCTTGAGATAAACACAGGAGAGTCTGGATACCTGCCCTGGCCTGAGAGCAATTAACATTCATTCCTCCTCCCACCTCCTCTTTCTCTGCTTCCTCCTTTCTCTTTAAAAACCCCTTGTAATAATCAATAAAGTCAGACCTTGACAAGACAAAAATCGCTTGGTCTCCTCCTTCTTTCTCGCCCATTATTTTCAGGCTTGATCCATCTCGGACTCACAAATTCCTGGAGCCCCTCGGGCCGGGGCAAATCCTTTCATTTCTACTGCTGAATATATTCTTTTCTCTTGGTCTCTAAGGCCACTCCCATGGGCCAAACTATTATTTCCTCTCAAAGTTTTCCTTCCATCTCCATCCTTGTTTGCCAGCCTCCTCATCCACTGTACACACAGACTCAAAGAACCCGACAAAAAAGGCATCCATTCTAGCAGCCCTCATTGCCAAGCCGGCCCAACCTCCTGCAGACCAGACTCCAGTCAGTGGACCATGTTCTCATCTTCTATGTTGCCAATGGACTGTGGCCATGAGTGTCTCATTCTCACCTCAGATGTCTGCTCAGAGGTATCACATCCATGAAGAGGGCTTGAGCAAATTCATCCTCACATATAATCAAAACCAGGCAGTTGTTCTGCAATGCCATGGTTTGTTTTTTTATTGAGCGTTACTACAAGATATAAATATCTTGTATTTATATACTTGATATATATGTACTGTTTTCGCTTTCCACTGGTGTGTACAGCAATAAAGGCATAGATTATGTCCTTGGCATTTCTCTATGCAGGATTGAGCCTGAGAAAGAATTCAAAAGGTATTTCAGGGATTAGTGATAGAATCCAGCACAACCAAGGTCCTGGGTTCAATACTTAGTACCCTGTGGGATGACACATGCATATCAGTCCCAGCACTTGGGATGTTACAGGCAGGCAAATCAGGAGTTCAAAGTTGTCCTTAGCTACCGTGGTTTCCAGGCCAACCTGGGATACTTTCAACCTTGCTTAAAAAGAGTGTTTTGAATGAAAACAATGAGTAGATAGACAAAACTCATTTATTCTATTAGAAAAGAAATGTAACTGCTAAAGTAAGAAAATGAATCTGGAGGTACAAAGTTGACATTCTCATTTCAAGTACAGCTAGGATTTTACATGAAGTTCGAGGGAGTATCCCTCCATTGTGCACCACACCCTCATAGCTGGTGTGTGTGTGTGTGTGTGTGTGTGTGTGTGTGTGTGTGTGTGTGTGTGTGTGTGTGTGTGTGTGTGTGCTCGCGCACTGCCCTGCCTAGTGATGGGACACATCTTCCATCTTCCAACAGTACAAAAAGTAGTAAACACAATAAAGCAATATAAACTGTGGGACTAAAACAAAGAGATGCTGAGATTGGAAATGAATAATGTTATGCCAAATAATGCTTATGAATAGATCATAACTTTAAATGTCACAAAATGGAAACTACATGTATTTTTTTTTTTTTTGCTCCTTCCCCAGAAACATTTTTAGAAAATGAAGGAAGGCTCTAGAGTTTTTACCTGGCAGGCAGGAATTTTGCCTATTTAATGGGTTTTTAAAAATCTCAGTGCAGAGAAAGCACATCTTTCAAAACTGATTTCATAAAATTATTCATTCTGTTGTATATGTTCAGTGTGTATTAAGTAGTTTCAATTTTTCATGTATTAATTTTAGGTAGTGCATTGGTAGAATTGATGTACTTAGAATGAAAAAGGAACACAAGAAGAAGGAGGCTAAAGAGTCAATAACAGCACCCTCGGGGCGAGGTCGGTTGTTTAGAAACACCAGCTTCTGTTAGTTTTCCCTTTCTCACAGATGCTCCCAACTACACTAAGTGTAGCCTAGTTCAGGGTCATCTAAAATCAGCTTGACACTTCCAGGGTGCAAGTGCAGGAAGCACAGCCCCCTGCATGGCACAAAGAAAGGTCCTCCAGCAGCTGCTATCACAGCTCCAGGCACCTGTGTCTTGATCTGCATCAATCCAGAGTTTGCAAGGCTAGGTTTCATTGGGCAATAGAGCAGTTTGTTCCTCCTCTGTGCCAATGAGGTTCTGAGCTTTAGATCTACAGTGAGGAGAAAAAAAAAATTAACAGTACTGATCATCTTAAGAAAACTAAACATAGACATCTGGGTAAACCATGCCCTTAATCCCAGCACTCAGAGATGGGGGCAGGCAGATCTCCGTGTTCACCCAGCCTGGCCTACAGAGTGCTTTCTAGGAAAGCCAGGACTACACAAAGAACAGATCACAAACTTCATCCCACCACCCACCCAAAAGAACTAAACACTAGGTGCCTACATCTCCACCCCAAGCACCTCCTTGGACCTGCCTGTCAAGCAACAAGTCTTAGGATCCCCAGAAATCTAACAGCAAGAATGGATGGAATATAATATTTCTTTTCTACTCTCATGCTCTATCTTCTTATAAGTGAAAAAGCCCGGAAGTTGGCCATACCTTCTTCTCGTCTTTGAGTGCTCCCAGAGATAAAATAAGCCCATCGCAAGTCCCTTTAACACAATGAAATGCACTGTTAAAGTAAATCCTCCAAGGCAAGTGTCTCACAAGTGTAAGGAAATGGAAAAAAAAAAAAAAAAAAACATACAAATCGGATTACTCACACTTATCAGAGCCCATAGGCCTTGCAAAGCTGCTGCCCACTCGAAACCAATCTTCTCATACAGAAATCCGCCCAGCATTGGTCCCATGAAAGCACTGACAGTAGAAAGAAGAATGGGTGAGCATCTAACAGTGCAAAATCTGCTTTATGAAGATGTATCACTTTACATCTTCCTTAAAGTAAAACTGGTCTTCCTTAAAGTAAAACAATAAAGGCTAAACAGATGGGAAGATTCCCGGACATCAATAACAATTCTAGACCTGGGTGTGCCCACAGTGTGTAAGGTCCTGACTTTGATCCCCAGATCCAGGGCTGAGATGGGGGCAGAGAAGAAGAGACAGAAAGAATAATGATTGCTAGACAGTTGTAAAGTGGAATTGCGGCTGGTAAGTTGGTGACCTACATAACAATAAAAACAGTAATGTGTCGGGCAGTGGTGGCGCTAGCCTTTGATCCTAGCACTCAGGAGGCAGAGGCAGGTGAATCTCTGTGAGTTTGAGGCCAGCCTGGTCTACAGAGCTAATTCCAGGACAGCCTCCAAAGCAACAGAGAAACCCTGTCTCGAAAAACAAACAAACAAACAAAACCAGTAGTGCATGTTTAAGAGTCTTTCTATTTTGTGGGTAGGGGTATATGCAACAGTACCATAAGAAAGTCAGAGGAAAACCCTATGGAACAGGTTTCGTTTTTTGAGACAGGGTTTCTCTGTGTAGCTTCGGAGCCTATCCTGCACTTGCTCTGGAGACCAGGCTGGCCTTGAACTCACAGAGATCCACCTGCCTCTGCCTCCCGAGTGCTGGGACCAAAGGTGTGTGCCACCAACACCCAGCTTTCGTTTTTTTTAAGATTTATTTATTTATTTATTATGTATGTAGTGTTCTGCCTATTTATTTATTTATTTATTTATTTATTTATTTATTATGTAGTGTTCTGCCTGCATGTATGCCTAGGCCAGAAGAGGGAGCCAGATCTCATTACAGATGGTTGTGAGTCACCTAGTGGTTGCTGGGAATTGAACTCAGGACTTGTGGAAGAGCAGCAGTGTTCTTAACTGCTGAGACATCTCTCCAACCCCCAGGTTCCCTTTTTCTTTCTATCGTTATGTGGGTTCCCAGGATTGAATTCTGGGCTCCAGACTTGTGTGGCAAGTGTTTTACCTGCTCAGCCATCTCACTGGCCCTCTATTCTTTCTATTCTTAATACCTGAATCAGTTCAGTGCATAGTTATTGACTTTGTATGTGTCTATTGCCGCTATACAGTGCATTGCCCGGTCTGGTAGAAAGTACATCAACAGCAAACAGGCAAGCAATTGAATCAATAAAGGAATGCATTTTAAAAGTCTGAGATATGCTTCTGTTAAAGGAATGTTTACTCATTGCTCAAAGCAAGGCTCATGAAGGTGTCTTAGTTTCATACGCAGTCTGATGACATACTAGGTTTTGGAGCCATGGGTTGTGAATTGGAATTCTTGCTATGCCCTCCTTGAGCTTTTGCCTTAGATAATCTCACACACCTTCTCGGTGTTTCAATTCTCCATCTGTAACATGGACAGAATACTTTGCAAATGAATTCACTTACCCAACTGACCACATGGCACTAACAAGACCGGAGATGAGTCCCAGTGTACTTATTCCCTCTTCAAACCCATTTTCACTGCAGGGAAACATGAACATATCCATCATGAAAAGGAAAACGTGTATGGAAAAACTGTTTGACACACACCTCAAGATAAACCACATATAATCTGAAGAAACTAAAACTAAGAGCATTCAATTTGTAAAACAAAAACTAACATGGGGGCTGGAGACGTAGCTCAATGGTGGAGTGTGGGGCTAGCACGGCCAAGGCCTTGGGCTCAAACACAAAACAAGCATCGATGCTACACAAAGAGTATAGGCAGCTGAAGAAAGCTGCGAGTGGGAGAGTGCTCGTCCCTGGGGAGACTGCACCAATTATTTGTTCAGTGACAAAATGGTCAGCCCTGAAAACAGACATGCAAGTGATACTGCACTGACTGAATGGATTATATTTAGGAATATATATGTTTATATAAATCCATATATGCAAGCAACAATAACAAAAAAGAGGGCATGAATTTGGAGAGTGCAGAAAGATACATGGGAGGGTTTCAAGAGAGTAAGGGGAAGGGTGAGACTTAATTATAAGCTCAAAAAATTGGTCAAAACAAATAAATAAAATATGTAAATCAAATTTGAAGGCATTTTCACAAAATAGCTTATTTAGTACATCCGTATACTAACAAGAATCATAAATGACTTGCATTAAATGCTAATTAAGAACATAATTAACTAAGAAATTCTTAGAACGGGATGAAGATAAAAAAGTCTGTTCTAAGAAAACTGAACCAGCTCTTTTTCCTCCGAGCATCATGGAGAAACCCCAGCACAGACCTTAGTGGTCATGAAAATGCCCCATACACAAAGGAGCAATGGCCAAGTGACAGATGGCTGGTCATCCTATGCTCTTGTCTGATTGTCCTCCAAGCCTCTGGAGCAACGCTGAAACCTCTTCATTTTGTTCTTGACTTTTAAAGCTATACACACACACACACACACACACACACACACACACTCTACACACACACTCACCTGAGACACACAACAAGCCAAGAATCTCCCTTTAACCTGTTCTACCTTTTAGCATATTAGTGTCATGTTATTTTCAGTAAAATTTCATTATTGCTTATATGATTGATAATGTCACAATATTTATATGATATGAAATCATGAAGATTTACTATTGGGCAAATATCCAACATCCTACCAGACTGAAAAACTGAGGTGAGACTGATTGCCTGCCCCACCCCGCCCCTACCCCCACCACACCCATCAACATCGTCAAACAACCCAGAAACTTACTATGCACAGCTAAGCATCTCCGGGAAAGTTGGGATGATACTCATTCCAGCAGAGAAGCCATTTACAACTAACACCAGTACCAGGAGCCAGAGCTGACTGCAGAGGCATCGTGGAGGAAATGAAAGCATTAGTATTTTAAGAGACACAAACTTAAAACCAAGGAGGGCAGGATCACAGAGACATTATCGTCACAGGTAGTTGGCTTGTTTCAATCATATTCCCACCCTGTCCCTTTCCATTCAGTGAGCGCTCATGTTAGCACCTTCCACCTCCGAAGCAACCCCTGCATCCTCTGAAGCCACTTTTGGTCCCACATTTCACATACATGTGTTTAGTCATCTGTAACCAGCTGGCCCTCCCACCATACCAAAATCCTCTCACCGCCAAAGCTGTTGTTCATCTAATCATTTCATCTTGAAATTCAATTAAACAATGGCAAAGAAGGGAGGGGACACAGGAAGAGACTAGAAACTGACAGTTATTCTATGTCCTGGCTCCATCTAAGGTCCTGACAGACATTATGCGTTTAATTCTTGTCATGTATGTATTAGCTTTAGTTCCTTTTCAAATGACATTTATTTATTTTGGAGGGGAGGCAGGGCTCTGTGTGTGTGTGTGTGTGTGTGTGTGTGTGTGTGTGTGTAGATAAGTGGCCAACACCCATAAATCAGCTGTGTAGCGCCTTGAGTTTTAACTTGAGTTTCCAGGCTTGGCAGCAAGTATCTTAGTGTACTGACTGTGTTGCTAGACATAGTTTCTTTTTATAGACAAGATAGCTTAGGCTCTTGGAAGTTAAGTGATTTGTCCGAGTTCTACTACCAGTGACAGAGCCAAAATTCAAACCCAGATCCAAAAGACTCCTAAATCCCCTCTTCCCAAGATGCTGTGTTTTGTCCCAGAGGTATGGGAAAAAGTCCAAGAAGCTCACTTTGTTTCAATAAATAAATTACAGTCAATAAGCCTTAATGAGCAAGTACTGCATGCTAAGGACAACACAGAAACAATAGAAGGCTCGTTTGTCCTCTTGATGAATGAGAAGGAAGAATCAGAAAAAAAAAGAAATTGTATTCTCTTAAGTATGAAGTAAAGGTTGTTAGCAATAAATGCTACTTTGAAAATAATTCCAAACAACAGGTGCATGGAAACACAGAAGACCTGGTGATGTGGAGTAAGCCTGTAATCCTAGCATTTGAGAGGGGGAGTCTGGGAGATCATGCATGCAAAGCTAGCCTCAGATAACAAAACACAACAAACATCTTATAGATAAGACTCAACATTCTTGTCATTTGATAAATATTTCATGTGTTAAGATTTGCTAAACTACTGCCAGCTTCTAGTAAATAAAGCACTTAGTCAAACAGTTCAATATAATCCCAAACCATTGTTTAAATAGCAATGCTTGCAGAACTAAGCCGCTTTTCTTTCTTTCTTTCTTTCTTTCTTTCTTTCTTTCTTTCTTTCTTCCTTCCTTCCTTCCTTTCTTTCTGCTTTTTTGAAACAGGGTGTCTTTGTGTAGCTTTGGAGCCTAGCCTGGCACTCATTCTCAGGCTGGCCTCGAACTCATAGAGATCCGCCTGCTTCTGCCTCCTGAGTGCTGGGATTAAAGGAGTGCTCCTCCAACACCCAGAGAACTAAGCCCCTTTTTAAAAATTAAACAATTACTGGTACTATTTCTCCAACAACATGGAACAGGAAAGTTACCTTTTAATGTGCAAAATGGGGACAGGTCCTAAGAGCAAGTAGCACGCAGCTGTGATTAAGTTTCCAAAAACCAGAAACCATTTCCTTAGATTCTGGTAAAGAGAAAGAGTGCAAAGCTTAAACCAAGGACCCTCCATAATCAAACAATATTTTAAAAAAAAAATCATTAAAGTAACGACATCCACAAGTCCAAATCCAGTAAAGCAAATGAAACTTTACATTTAAGAGAAAATAGGCAGACAATAAACTTAAAAGAAAGGAAGATATTTTGCAAGATGGTGAGATGAGCAAAGTTCCCCTGGGAAACACCGAACTCTTTCTACCAGGCCAACTGACAGTGTCTGCTTTAAACAAGGGGCCTTTAGAATTGTGGAGAAGTAGCTACAGATCTAAACATGAAACAGCAACTCAAATATAATACATACAGGCATCCTATCACTGAGGAGACCAAACAGCGGCGACGAAATGGTATAGGAGAGAGCCAGACCCAGGAAGACCAGTCCCACGTATCCAGCTGGCAAATTGAACTGGAAAAGAAATCCCATGTCAAAGTCTCTCTTTAAAATAAACACACCCCTTTCCCTTCTTCTCCAGCTCTATTAACAGAAGTCTATCAGTAACAGCCAGTATTTGTATTGTTTCGCTGTCCATAGCTGTGACTAAGATACCCGAGAGAAAAATGCAAAGGAGGATAGTTTATTTTGGCTCATGGTTTCAGAGCATCGTGGTGGGGATAGTGTGGGAGAGCAGAGAGCTTTCGTGACAGTGGCCAGGAAGCAGAGAGAGGATGCCTGTGTTTGCTGGCTTTCTCCATTCTTTCCTTTTTTCATCCCAGCCCCAGCATCCAGGATGACCCTGCCCACAGTTAGGGTAGTCCCTGCTTAGGTCAGTGCTGTCTGGAAATTCCCAGAGATACACTTGTCTGATTTCCTAGGCACTTTTCCATCCAATCAAGTTAATAATCAAGATTAGCTTTGATCGAATTCCTCTTAACTTTTTCTTACTTTGTACCAGGAATGGGTAAATACTTTTTTTTCCTAAGAGAAAAAATTTCCAACCACTTATTAGACATCCTAGAAGTTTGATTTTGTAGCAATTTATATTAAACATACAATTTGATTTCTACAAATTGCATTTTTGTATATAGTATTTCACAAATTTTATGTATACCAAGATTCATACACAGAGCTTATTAAATGGTGTTCTTGGATTCTAGCCCTAGGTTTGATTTCTGTGTGTGTGTGTGTGTGCTGGAGAGGGGTGTGTCACAGTGAAAAGCAAAGTAATATGAATTCAACATTCATGTTTCAGCAGTGGAGACTCTTGGTTCCTTTCTCCTGTTCTGTTGTATAGAACATAGTCATCTGATTATAACAAATAGCTAAAAAGTAAGTGGACTCAGAGGGCATTAGGGAGAGAAGAATATCTCACAACAAAAGACCTCACCAGTGCTGCTACTGCCTCATTCCAGTTCACACAGGAGGATAAACATGTCATAGTTAGGCAACATGGGGGATGCCCTTGCAAACCTGGAATGATGTGAGCAAGGTCTTGGGTAGGAGGAGGCAATGCCCCAGACACTACAGGTAGATTCTTTCTTTCTTCCTGGTGGATCAGACCCCCAGATCACAGAATCGAATTCAAAGCTCAAAGGATGTCACTGAAGGAAGACACAGGGCCTGAGAGTGCAGCTCCCTGTCTACCTCCTTCTCACAGATGAAGGTCTTTCCCTAAAGAAGGAACCCAAGGGCACATAGCTATGACCTGTACAAAGCAGAGCTCCAAAGGCTGCTTACCTTCTCCAAGACAAAGAGAGAGAGGGTTGGATCCAGGAAGCCAAAGCAAGAGCTGAGGGAGATGATGACAAAGGCTATGAGACAGACCTTGGGTAACGTGACAAGTTTCCAGAAGGAGTGTTCACCTGGATCCGACTCTTGGGGTTAAAAATAAAAACAGAAATACATAATAGCAATGAACATCACTTAGTTTTATCTTTTAACTTACTTTGAAGGCAAAGCTAATGAGACAATTTGGTAGTAAAAATAACCTGCACCTCTGAATTGCCTGAAATGAAATATTATCATCTACATTAGCTTCTAACTTCTTCTAACTTTAGAAGCCGTGATTGGTTTTATTTAAAAGACTGAATTTTATCCTGGCATGGCAGTGTCTGCCTGTCATCTCAGCACTTGGGAGGTAAAAGTAGGAGGATCAGGAATTCAAAGTCATCCTTGGCTACACAGTGAGTCTGAGGTCAGCCTGAGTTACATAAAACTCATCTTAAAAAACAAACAGTGGGCTGGAGAGATGGCTCAGCGGTTAAGAGCACTGACTGTTCTTCCAGAGGTCCTGAGTTCAGTTCCCAGCACCACATGGTGGCTCACAACCACCTTGAATGAGATCTGGTGCCCTCTGCTGGCATGCAGGCAGAAGACTGTATACATAATAAATAAATAAAATCTTAAAAACAAATAAACAAAACAGCAAAATCCCAAATTTAAAAACAATCCTCAACTACACTCAACTGGAATCAGGGTGTGTTCGGAGCTTTTTAAGCTACCGTCTGGAAGTAAGGCCATGGGTGGGAGGGACAGTGGAGTGCACAGCTGCAGAAAAAGCACCATCCCAGCTTCACCAAGGACGTGTGTGTGTGTGTGTGTGTGTGTGTGTGTGTGTGTGTGTGTGTGTGTGTGTGTGTGTGTGTGTGTGTGTGTGTGTGTGTGTGTGTGTGCTTAAGGAGGGATTCCTGGGTGGTGATGGTACACGCCTTTAATCCTAGAACTTGTGAGGCAGAGGCAGGCAGATCTATAATTTCAAGGCCAGCCCGGTGTACAGAGCTAGTTCCAGGACAACCAGGACTGCACAAAGAAACCTGTCTTGAACAACAAAACAAAGCAAAAACAACCAAAAAAGCCAGGCAGTGGAGGCGCACGCCTTTAATCCCAGCACTCGGGAGGCAGAGGCAGGAGGATCTCTGTGATTTCGAGCCCAGCCTGGCCTATAAGAGCTAGTTCCAGGACAGGCTCCAAAGCCACAGATAAACCGTGTCTCGAAACCTCCCCCCCCCCCCCCCCCCCCCCAAAAAAAACAATCAAAAAGAAAAAAGGGGGGGGACTCACATTTTGCTTTGTAAGTCAAAACCCATTATTTTTCTGGGGGAAAATAAACACGACATTGAGAAACTGAAAGGCGGTGTTACTGAATCCTGTGTGAACTACTTTCATCATTTAAGATCACTTCTCTCATACTTCTTAAGGTTGGTAACCCATGTCCGTGCCTATCTAAAAGCAGGCATGGCTACCTGCAAGCCTCCAGTTATAGTGAATGACTGCTTTATTCTCTCTTTAGTGAATTTCTAACACTGATCTCGGGTCCTGGGAAGACCAAGAAGTGCTCTAAACCACGCAGCCATCATTCTGTACCCTCCTCCCCAAGCCATATTATTTAAGAAAAGATCACTTTGAAAAAGGATGCGGCGACTGTGTGACTCTTAAAATACATTAAGGAGTCTGAGAAATCACTAGGGATTCCACAAAGAGCACAGCTCACACGCTTGGCGCAGAGTCCCGTCAGCCGCATTTTGAGAGCTTAGTTAGAACTAGTTAGTGTGACCCTGTAACCGAGATAACACGGGATGTGAACTTCACTGAGGGTCGGGATCAGCCGTCGCAGACCCGTTTCACCCACAGCGTTTATCACCATTCACAACAATGAATGGTGATAACAATGCAAAGTCCAAAGGTTCAAAGACTGTACGAACTTCTGCTACTTTCGAGAATATTCTCAGGAAGTTTTCAGAATACAGAGATTAAGTCAAGACTATCAGCCTGTTACTCAAAAACATGGCCCTAAATTCGACCCCCGAACTGCGTTATGCATTTCAATTTAGAGAGGGTTGAACAAGCGCCACCTTGTGGCAAAACGAGATTTGCCAGCAGGAAATCAATCACTCAGGTGTGGATTTTGAATTGTATTGGATTTGAATTGAAAGCTACAAAAGATGGGCTGCAGAGACGGCTCAACAATTAACAGCGCTTCTCTTCAAGAGAACCAGAGTTCAGTTTCCAGTACCCACATATGGTGGCTCAGGGTCACCTGTAGCCCCAGCTCCAGGAGATTTAATGCCTCTGACCTCTGTGGCCGTCTGCACGTACATGGACATACTAACAACCCCACACATACCTTAAAGCGATCACAGGATGGTGGTGGTGCACGCCTTTAACCTAAGCACTATAAAGGTGAAGGCAGTCAGATCTCTGAGATCGAGGCAAGCCTCATGTACAGAAAGAGTTCTAGGATAGCCAGGGACACACACACACACACACACACACACACACACACACACACACCAAACAAACAAAAAAACCTGTCTTGAAAAACAAAAAAATTAAAAAGCAACTACAAATAATAAAAATTAAAATAAATTTTAATTATAAAAGATTTTAGTTTTAGTCTATTACATTTCTTGTGCATACAAAAAACCATTATCTGTTAACAGTGGTTGAGAACACTGGCTGCTCTTTGCAGAGGATACGGGTTCAGTTCCCAACAGCCGCATGGCAGCTCAGATCCATCTCTAACTCCAATTGGGGGTGGGGTATGATGACCATGGTCGGCACTGGCAGGTGACATACACTTAGGGGCTCCCTGCCTTGTCATGGGGGGGAGGGGTAGTAGCTCACCTCATGAAGAGGTAAAAATGAAAACCCCTGTACAGACTGAATTAATCAACCTAGATCAAACTCCAGGGAGTCTAATAACAGGTGGTTTATTCCCAAAGTACTTAAGCCCAGCATCATTTGGAAAAAAAGGTTCCTGGTGGAATACAATCCCCGGTGCACAGGAAGCATAATTGCATGGAAACTCAACTCAGGGTATGTGCCATTTCTTCCAAGAAGATAGGTTCTAGAGGTACACTGCCTGAACTAGTTTAAGGGCCTAAGAGGCTGGCCTGGTCTTGGTCATACAAATAAGCATAGAGGTGATTTGGGCAATTAGCCACCTTCAATCTGGTGTGGGAGCTTGGAGGAGCCTGTGTTTATAAGGGTCATTTAGAGTATTAGCCACCTCTGGCCTGGTTGTAAGAGCTTGATATGGCCTGCCCCAACAAATAAGGGAGATCACCTGGCTGTTAATCACTCCCAATTCTCAGCTTTCTGGAGGGAAGAACAGATTTTTCAGCTTTCCCATTGGAAAGACGATGCTGTATGCTTGAAATTCCTGGTTTCTCTGGAGATCTGTGGGCACAAGGACTTTTTTGCTACATTCCCAACGAGGCACAGCGTATGAAGACATACACACAGGCAAAACACTCATACACATAAAATAAAATAAGTAAGCTTCAAAAATAGTTATGTTTAGATAAAAGTATGAAAAAAAAAACCTTATGAAGAAGAGTACTTCAATGGTTTCAGTGAAAACTGCTGAGTAAAACAGAAAAATCTACAGACTGTTCCAAGGGTACTTGGATGTCCCTGTGTTTCCTCCACACCCTGGTTTGTTCATTCTCTTTGAGAATGAACTCCCTGGTCACCAACACCTGCCTGGAAAGGTGTCAGAGAGAGGGGGGTGTAGCCATCTATGGAAAATGCGGCACACCTGGTGCCCCCTCATACCTTGTCCTGCAAAGGAGGTTTGGGAAAACTAGTCAGGTAAGATCACAGCCATGGCACAGGCTGAGTCAACAAAGGGGATGGAAGAGTGGAGAGTCCACACCATGCAACAACTCTACTTCAACCCAGCAAGAGCTCGAATGGCTTTCAGGAGACAGTGCTTGCTTCATGGATATAAAGACTATATTTTGAGTTTGCCTGCAATGCCATCATGCTGCAGGCAGAGACAGGAGGGCCAGCCTGGTGAGTTCTGGAAAAGGGGAGGGGCTAAACAGCAAGACCCTGACTCAGAAAAAAAAAAAAGTGTTTCAATTTACAAGTAAAAATTATGTATGTCAGTGAATGGCACTGATATTTGTACACCTGTGTGCATGTGTATGTAGTAGAATGAGTAAATCCAAGTAGTTAATAAATGCATTGCACCTTACCTCACATATTTGTCTTTTTTGTTGTTGTTGTTGTGAGAACATTTATTTACTTGTTTTTTGAGACAGGGTTTCTCTGTGGCTTTGGAGGCTGTCCTAAAACTAGCTCTTGTAGACCAGCCTGGTCTTGAACTCCTGAGTGCTGGGATTAAAGGCGTGCGCCACCAACGCCCGGCTGAGAGTAGCCAGTATTCTTAACCATTGCGCAATCATGCCAGTTCCTATTGTTAATCTCTTAACTGTGCCTAATTTTAAATTAAACTTTATCATAGGTATGTGTGCATACATGAAAACAAAGTATATAAAGGGCAGGAGGGTTGGTGTTCTCTCTGGTTCCAGGTACAGGTGCCAGACTTGTAGCGTGTGGCCCACAAAGAAGGTGGAACTTCACATGACCATATATATCTTTCTGTCACCATGATGTAAAGCAGACCTCTTCAGGTTCTCAACTTAGGGTTTTAATGAGAGGAGTGACATGCACATGACTGTTAGAGCATAACAGCAGGCAGAAACTGGAGACCAGATCTGAAAAAGGAGCAACAAGGGCTTCTAACACACAAAACCAAACACTGGCCACGGGTGTGGCAGGAACCTGCAGAGAGCATAGAATGCCTAATTCGGCCAACATATCAAAAGAAAATCTGGTACCTTTCCTAGATGTTGTCTGAATTTAGCTTTTCAATAACAAGGCTGAAGAGATGACTTGGTGGTTGCTGTAGCTGGGATATTAGGGGCCACACTTACAAGATTGTGTGGAAGGCCTTTGACATGTTTTAAAGAATAGGAAGTTCTCTCTGACTCAGCTCTCTCTCTCTCTCTCTCTCTCTCTCTCTCTCTCTCTCTCTCTCTCTCTCTCCTCTTTTTTTCTTTCTTCAAGACAGGGTTTCTCTGCATTGCTTTGGTTCCTGTCCTGGAACTCACGCTGTAGACCAGGCTGGCCTGGAACTCACAGAGATCCTCCTAGGCTGGGATTAAAGGCGTGCACCACCAACGCCCGGCCAACTACTTCTTAATTCTCAGTCGAATATCCATATACCAGGACAGTTTAGGATACTAAACCTAGGGTAAAAAAAAACGGTGCCTTACACTCGCAGAGAAGATAAGCACCACCTTGTGGTACAATGTGGTATTGCCCCTCTGGCTCTGTTCTCCCCAGTCGCCCAGCTCTCTTAATAATTCTCTAGCTCTGTTATATACTAATCAACCTGGTAAGTCTACAATGTTGATTAACCCTACTAAAAACGATGCTTACAATGAATGTAACCCTGGTTAGTAAATTTCATCTGGACAAAGGGAACTACGAATGAGCCATAAGTACTCACCTGATGGGGGCAAGGTGTCCTGTGCCCCCGGAACTGATTAACTATTACCAGCGAGTGGCACCCTCGTGACAATATACATGCATTGTCAGAGAGAAGGTTGTTTTGTATGGGGATGGAAGCTTTGAACCCAGATTGACTTCCATCACTGTTGCCAGAGATCTTGCAACTGTTACTGCGTTACTGCTACACCTGCAGGTGGAAGGCCCGCTGGGAAGGAAGAATTGGCCTTGCCCTCCTATATTGAATGTTTTATGACAGAATGACACACTGGCTCACTCTGCACCTGTGTACACAAAGTAGGCCTAGAGTTGGGAGTGGTAGAGGCAGAAGATCTCTGTGAGCTCAAGGCCAGCTTGGGCTACAGAGTGAGTTCCAGGACAGCTAGGGCTGCTGTGGAATATTCCTTTACACTGTGTGAAGACGTGTCACTGTGGTTGGTTTAATAAAAAAGCTGAACAGCCAATAGCTAGGCAGGGTTTTCAGGCACAGGAGATACTGGGAAGAAGAAAGGCAGAGATGCAGACCAAACAGGATGGACAGTACAGAGATGAGATAATAAAGCATGAGACAAAAAAGTAAATTAATAGAAATGGGTTCATTTAAACTATAAGAGCTAGTTAGAAACAAGCCTGAGCTATCAGCCAAGCTTTCATAATTAATAATAAGTCTCTGTGTCGTTTTTTTTTTGTGAGCTGGAGGACCAAAGAAGAGTCTGTATACACAGGGCTATGTAGAGAGACCTCATTAAAAATAAACAAATAAGTAAATAATGAAAACAAAGCTGGCCTAGAACTTGTGGGAATCTTTCCCTTGCTTTTACAGTCTTGTAGACAAACTGTGTTGCCCACAGAAATTTCTGGTGAAAATTTAGTGCAGCCCAATGATAATGGCCTGTGAGCAGAAATTACGTGCTTATTTCTCCTAAAATCTGGAAATTTTGTGATATGCCTTCTTATTTTATTTATTTAAGAGAGGGTCTCAAGCATCCCAGGCTGGCCTTGAACTCACGACATAGCTGAGGATACTTTAAAGCAGAACACACTGTGCTCTGCTTCTGTGGGGCTAGAACCTAGGTTTTGATGAATCTAGAAAAACACTCTACTAACTGAACTATGTTCCTAGTCCTTTGTAAGGAAAAACTATCATGAACTAATTACCCATATATCAGGAAACAGAAGCAGTTTTTGAGGGTGCTACAAAGAGGTGTTACACAAAATGTATGGTAAATGTATCCTTTACAAAGACATAAAAGTAACATCAAGATTCTAAAATGAATATTAGGTTTGAACTTACCATAACTAGGCAAAATCCATAGGTTGAGTGGTATCATCAGCAGAACTATGCACCCCAGGAGAATAAAAGGCACCTCATAGCCGAAGGATTGATACAAAAAGCCACCTAAAGGGGGACCTGCTATCAGGCCCAGTCCAGAAAAAACCTCAAGGCTGCCCTAAAAATTAAAAAAAAAAAAAGATAATTTAGTTAATGGACTATAGTTGAAGAATTATGAATGTCAGGCACAATGGCTGTATTTACACACAAACACATACACACACACACAAAACACACACACACACACACACACAAACACACACACACACATACACATGCACAGAACAATAAATAAAGAGGAGAGCAGGGTGGAAATTATGTAAATATTACACTCGTATGAAATTCTCAAAAACCTAAATAAAAAAGGAATTATGAGAGGACTATTTGAAAAAAAAGTTTTTTTTTCACGATTTACACACACACACACACACACACACACACACACACACACACACACTCACACACACTCGTTTATATATTGACCTGGTGGCCCTGTTTGCAATGTCAAGCTAAGTGTGGTGACAGACACCCGGTTCAATCCCAGCAACCAGGAGAAAGAGATTCAGACAACAAGACCAGGAGTTCAAGGTCAACTTTTGAGAGTTCTAGTCAGCTTGAGCTGTGTGAATTGCTGTTCTAAACAAACAAACAAACAAAAAGATGCAAATGATTTTACTGCTCACTGACAATTATGAAGTACATTACATCCATATAGTGGAATTGTACACAGCCCGTAAGGAAAGAATAAGAAAGATTTTTTATAAGTAGATAGAGAAGACCTTAAGACCTTGAGTGTGAACTTGTCAGTATAATCAGCAAGTTGTTAAGTGGTGTGAAGAGTATGCCAACATATGTGTGAAGAAAAGAAGGGGGTATCATGTTGCCACTCCATATGCATATGTATGTGTGTGTACACATAGACACGTAACCTTGGGAAGACGCCTGAGATACTGACTGCTCTCTTGGAGCAGCTAGGGTACCGGATGCCTGAACAGCAGATGTGATATGAAGTCAGAACAGCAATGGTAAATGCGAAACATTTACTATATTCTATTTCCCACTTTATAACTTCTGAATTTTATTCTGCATAAAATTAGCTAAAGTTAAACAAGGCAGTCCTATGGAAAAGAATTTTACTGTGAAGGGAATTGTACCATTTTAAGTCTTTAAATACACCCATGGTTTATAATCTTATAGTCTTAAGATCCACAGAGTGCCTTTAGTCGTAGCACTTGGGAGGCAGAAGCAGGCGGATCTCTGTGAGTTCGAGGCCAGCCTGGTCTCCAGAGCAAGTGCCAAGATAGGCTCCAAAGCTACACAGAGAAACCCTGTGTTTCAAAAAAATCACAGAGCCATCATGATTAACTAACCTCCATGGAATGTGTTGGCTTTGGCTCCTACTTTATGTGGGAGGTTGGGAGGGCAAGTCTACTTTCTCTTGCTGGTCTCAAATGCCAGTGGATGACTGCCACAGTCGTAGGAAATTTCCTGGACAGCACTTCCAGGATGTTCTACAGAACACCAACTCTTTAAAAGGTCAACAAGTTTTATATGGAAAAAGCTGGCCCATGGCCAAGCTGACGCACGAGGTAGTCAGTGAAGTCAAAATTGTATGGCACTCCTCAGACAAGACAAAAGTGCTTTGATGACTTTCAAGACAACCTCTGAGACCTCTTGCACACATCTGGGGAAGGTAAAGATGCTCATGAGACAACCGTCATGGGGGAACACTGTCACGTAGAGGAAAGCTATGGGCAGTTCAGTCAGGGCCTATCACAGGGTCACAGGGAGACAGCAAAATGCTACTCATATGAGCTAAAAGTGATTTTTTAAAAAAAATCAAGGTGCGGAGGGGTGCTAGAGAGATGGCTCAGTAGTTAAGATCACTTGCTCTTGCAGAAGACCTGAGCCTGTTCCCAGCACCCATATGGTGGCTTCCAGCCATCAGAACTCCAGTTCCAGGGGATCTGATTCCCTCTTCTGACCTCTGTACGACCTGGGAACACAAGTGGTACATATACATACATGCAGTCAAAACACTCATACACTAAGAAAACAAAGCTTGGCAGGGCGGTGGTGGCGCTCGTCTTTAATCCCAGCACTCGGGAGGCAGAAGCAGGAGGATCTCTATGAGTTCGAGGCCAGCCTGGTCTCCAGAGCGAGTGCCAGGATAGGCTCCAAAGCTACTCAGAGAAACCCTGTCTCGAAAAACCAAAACAAGAAAAAAAAAAAAAAAAATCACAACAAAAGGGAGAACATTACACAAAAGAGTGGGGGGAAACCGAGTAAAAACAGATCAAATGAATGATTTGGACACATAAAAAGGAAAATAAGAAAAAGTTCACATTACATACCAAGACAGTAGCCACATTATTTGGGAAAGCCTTTGCGAGGATAGAAGATGATGCTGTTATTGCTGCACCAAAACCTATGGCATCTACTATTCTAACCAGAAAACACATGACAATAAATATGGGTCCTTCTGGAAGTTGGTCCAAGACACTGAAAAAAAAATACAATTGTCAAGTGTCAAACTGATTTTATTTTTTTAATTCACTCTACTTCCTGAAGACAGCTATCCTATCCAAAGTTATTAGATAAAGTCTCTTTAGAAATCTTTTGCCGGGCGGTGGTGGCTCACGCCTTTAATCTCAGAACTTGGAGGCAGAGGCAGGTGGATCAATGTGAGTTCCAGGACAGCCTGGTCTACAGAGCTAATTCCAGGATAGCTAGGGCTGTTACACAGAGAAACCCTGTCTCAATAAATAAATAAACAAATAAATAAATAAATTTGGTACACTTGTTATTAGGGAATAGTGATATGAAAGTGCAAGGCCACCTCTTTAATCTCAGCATTTAGAGTTAGAGGCAAGTAGATTTCTATGAGTTCAAGGCCAGCTAGGTCTACATAGCAAGTTCCAGGCCACCCATGGCTACATAGTGACACCCTGTCTCAAAAACAACAAAAGAAAAGGAGGAGGGTCCAGGGAGCTTTCTAGGAACATTGCACCAGAAGAGGAGAGAAAAGCAGGAAGCTAAGAAAGATTTCTGATGATGCTGATTCAGCTCTTGCAGCCAGGTGTCTTTGAGCTAATCCTGTAAGAAATAGATTCTCTTTTCTGTTCAAGCAAAACATTTCTATGGCTCAGAAGACTACTAGTTCCCATCACAAGGACCCACAGGAGTCCTGGTGGATGCATTTAGGAGCCACAGTTGTTTTCTCTATTGCTGTTTTGAGACAGGGTCTTCCTGCATAGCCCACCTAGGCCTCGAACTTGAGGTCCTCCTTCAATGCCACCCAAATGCTAGTATTAAAGGTGTGCAGCACCATGTCTGGTCCAGCAGGCAGTTTAGTTGGTCATCTTGGAGAACACTCTTTTTTTGTTTGTTTGTTTTTTGAAGCAGGGTTTCTCTGTATTGCTTTGGAGCCTGTCCTGGAACTCACTCTGTAGACCAGGCTGTCCTCGAACTCACAGAGATCCTGCCTGCCTCTACCTCCAGAGTGCTGGGACTAAAGGCGTGCACCACCAATGCCCAGCTGAGAACTCTTCTTAAGATAACATTTTCTGGGTGCTGGTGGCACACACCTTTAATCCCAGCACTCCAGAGGCAGAGTCAGGCGGACCTCTGAGTAGACAGCCTGGTCTACAAAGCTACACAGAGAATCCCTATCTCGAAAAACAAAAAACAAAAAGATAACATTTCTGTTTGCTACCCACTCATCTCCTTCCACCATTAGTCACATGTCATTCATCTGACAATATAGTAGTGATTGGTACCAACTGGTCTAAAGAGCCATTAATAGCCTGGCAGTGGTGGTGCACATACCATTAATCCCAGAGCTCAGGAGGCAGAGGCAGGCGGATCTCTGAGTTTGAGGCCACACAGCCTGATGTACAGACAGCCAAGTCTACACAGAGAAACCCTGTCTCTAGAAACATAAACAAACAAAAATAGACATTAATGGGTTAGTGACATGGCTCAGAGGGTAAGAATGCTGGCAGCATATGCTAGACAACCTATATACAAATAATAACACATTTTTAAGAAAAACTTCAAAGCCATTAACATTTTAGCCACCAGACTATGAGATTCTCCCCACATTTCCAAACATTAGAAAGTTACTTACCCAAAGAGAATTGTAACTCCTCCTGAGATAAACATTCCTGCTATAAACATAAATTTGGCTCCAATTTGTACAAGCTATAATAAAAGGCAAAGAAGATCGGTAAATTGATTGCTTCAGGAAGTCCACAGTTTCATAAACAAATCCACTCTATCAGAACATATAAAATTGCAAGAAAGCATGTGGAGTTAATATATTAAAATAATTCCTTAAAAGAACTGCAATGTAAGCTGTTTATAAGCATGGAAGGGACTAACTAATCAACTACAAGGATATAACTATGGCATAACTTATTAAAAAGCAATGGTATCATTTCCAAATCCATAGATATTTTAGATTAGTAAATTACAGTCATGCACCACATGATTTTTGTAAACTAAAATATGTATATGAGCACCAATACTTACATATTTTCCAAACACTAGAGACGCCAGCAACTCAAATAAAGCATAGCATCCAAAGATCATCCCAATCATGGTATTGCTGGCTCCCTTCTTTTCTGCCTTGGAAGAAGCAGAAATGGGAATAAAATTGGAAAGACAAAACAGCATTGGTGGGAAGACGAGAATGAGGTCAGAACATCGCCTTGTGACTTTCATGTAAGTGTAGTAATTTCCAAGATTTGGGGACACACTCCAATGTCCATATAATGGACATTCTTTTTGTAAAAATTAGCTTACCAAGTAGCAGGTTCCTTGTAACATTTTCATACATATTTAATTTTTGTCGGCTCTGCCCCTACCCTATCTCCCTGTACAAACCTTCCCATTTCTGGTATTTATTTATTTTTATTTTATTTTTTGTTTTTGAGACAGGCTTTCTCTGTGTAGCTTTGGATCCTATCCGGGCACTCGCTTTTTTACATGTATACCTTTATTGCTTTAATGTAAACATTTAAAAGGATCTGCTGTTTGCATATATAACTATTAATTTCAAAATAGGGAACTAAAACATGGCATATATATCTTTTTTTAAGATTTTATTTATTTATTTATTTATTTATTTATTTTGTATACAGTCTTCTGTCTGCATGCCAGCAGAGGGCACCAGATCTCACTCAAGGTGGTCGTGAGCCACCATGTGGTTGCCGGGGAATTGAACTCAGGATCTCTGGAAGAGCAGTCAGTATTCTTAACCTCTGAGCCATCTCTCCAGCCCCCATTTCTGGTATTTAAAACATTTATTTTAAAACAAGTAGGGTGAGGAAAAACAGGAAAGTAAGTGGTAAAATCTAGACCTGATGTGAAATAATTCACTTAGTATACCTATAAAGAATTCCCTCATCTGGATAAAAGTCAGTATTAAGAATATATATTAAAAAAAAAAAAAAAAAAACACTTCGGATGAGGAAATCTGGACTCTGTCTCTCAGTCTGGACTCAGGAAACAGTTAAGTAGACAGACTTCCTTTTTAGTATCCACTTCTGGTTACAGAATTGCACTCCACCAAAAACAGAAGCAAACAAACAAACAAACAAACAAATCACGTGTCAGCTGTCAGTTCTAGAAGAAAACATACAAAAACAAAGAAGTGAAGAAGTAAATGCCACGAACTGGCAAGTGGAGTCCTATGAGTCCACTTCAACTGCGCCATATGAAGGCGCCAACCGGTCTGTTCAGGTCTGCTCTGTGGCTCCTGCCATGCTTCATCTGGGAAAAGATCCAGCCCCCACTCCCCACCCCCCCCCCCCACGGCGTGAGCATAGCAGCCGAAGGATGTTCCCCACATGGTCCTGACACTCGTGGGTATCTTACTCTCCATGTATTGGAATAATTAATGGTCATAGCCTATTCCACCAGGGACCTCTGAACTTTACTACAGATGATGTACTTATTCTGAGTCTACTTTTGTGTGTGTGCCTGAGTGTAAGCATGTGCACCCACCCCTATGGAGGCATGGATCCCCTAGGACTGGAGTTACAGCATAGTGAGTCACTGTGTGGGTGCTGGGAACTGAAATCAAGGTTTTTATAACCACTGATCCTCTCTCCAGACCCTAAAGCCACTGTGAAACTGTGTGAGCGTGGCTGCCCTGTGAGCTTTGGTGAGCTGGTGGCCAAAGACGGAGCTCTATGATGACCCTGCTAGTAGCCTGAGAAGTTCTTTTCAGAAACCTCTACTCAGCTAAAAAGCTAAGATTCTTTTATAATGATGATGATGATGATCATGGCTTTTTGAGACAGGGTTTAATGTAGCCCAGGCTGGCCCAAGACTTGCTATGTAGCTGAGGCTGACTGAATTCCTCCTGACCCTCCCGCCTCTGCCCCCCAAGTGCTGAGATTGCAGGCACATACAGCCACACTTGACATGTGATGCTAGGGACAAAAGACTGAACTGTATGTGTGCTACACAAACACTACCAACTGAGCTGTGTCCCCAGTCTGTACCCAGTGCTCTTTACTTCACTGCAGAGAAAGAATTTCAAGACAAGTTCATATGAAGCAAAGTTGAAGCCTATTATGAGGTACATATGGAGTTTAATATATTCTAAATAGATTTAAGCATAGACATTAGGCAGAGAAAGACGGGGTGGGGCTTAGGGATCCAGAGAGGCATTTAGGAAGAGATAGTGCACACCCAAATGTGGGTGTGTGGTCATGCCTTTAATCCCGGCATTCAGGAGGTAGAGACAAGAGGATCTCTGTGAGTTCGAGACCAGCCTGGTCTACAAGAGCTAGTTCCAGGGCATCCTCCAAAGCCACAGAAGTCTCGAAACCCTTCCCCGCACCCCCCCCAAACATATTGTTATTACATTTACTTGTGGGGAGGGCATGCATGCGCCATGGCACACACGTGAAAGTCACAAGACAACCTGCAGTGTCAGTTCTCTCCTTCTACCGTTGTGGGTCCAGGGGAAGGAATTCAGTGCCTTTACCCACTGAGCCACTGAGCCATCTTACCAGCCCATGTAAGTGTGTGTGTGTGTGTGTGTGTGTGTGTGTGTGTGTGTGTGTGAGGGAGAGAG